CGCATTTTACGTTTACGTTATTTCATAAGATAACAGCATATTATAAATAAATGGTATTATTTTGAAATTGTTTACTTATTGTAACATCGAGGAAATTAAAGAACATCTAGTTATAGTTGCGTTTCATGTTCCTTAGATAAATAATACGTTTCGTTATTATAAACTCTTTAATCTATTTAATTCTTTGAAAGAATTTGAAAAGTGAAGCAATGGTTTCAAAGCTTATAGACTTCAATCTAAGTGAAACTATTGAAGTATATGTTTGAAACATTAAGAATGGATGACATACAGGAAGTACGGCAGCTGGAGTTGCTCTGCAAGCAGTTATATGAATCACAAGATTCTACTCACCGTGCAGAAGCAGAGAAAGCACTTATTGCATTCCAAAATGCACCGGACACACTTACAAAGTGTCAGCTGCTACTCGCACGAGGAGATTCTGCATATGCACAGTTATTGGCAGCCACAACTTTGACAAAACTAGTTTCACGTTCGGGTGGACTTAGTGTGCAACAAAGGCTTGACATAAGTAAGTTTGTAAATGAAATTATTAGATAAAGAATATACGGATACATGAAAGTTTGTTTCAGGGAATTATGTGTTGAACTATTTAGCAACACAACCAAAATTACCAAACTTTGTGATACAAGCTTTGGTTACATTATTTGCTAGAATATCAAAGCTTGGTTGGGGTGATAGTGATAAGGACGAATTTGTCTTTAGAAATGTGGTCAGCGATGTAACAAAATTTCTTCAGGTTTGATGGTTTATGTTTTGTGTACTCGAGTTGTAAACATTAGTTTTTTTATAGTTTTATAATATTTTAATGTTGTGTAGGGTTCAGTGGAACACTGTATGATAGGAGTTCAGTTACTTTCTCAATTGACCTGTGAAATGAATCAAGTGACAGATGTTGATGCAAACAGATCCCTTACGAAACATAGGAAAATTGCTAGCAGCTTCAGAGACACACAACTGTTTGAAATATTTAAGTTATCATGTACTTTATTAAGTACAGCACGAGAGAATTGTAAAAATTTAAATTTTAATGATGAGGCACAGGTATGTTTCACAAGTGCTATGTATATACACACATTTTTATGCATATGATATAATATATATATATATATTTTTCTAATTTCTAGCATGGTTTGATCAGACAACTTTTGAAATTAGCACAAAACTGTTTAACATTTGACTTTGTTGGAACATCAGCAGACGAAAGCTCTGAAGATCACAGTGCAATACAAATTCCACACTATTGGAGACCTATATTTTTAGATTCCACATCGCTAAAGCTTTTCTTTGATCTATATCATAGTTTACCTAACACATTGTCATCTCTAGCCCTCTCATGTTTGGTCCAAATAGCATCTGTCAGAAGAAGTTTATTTTCTAATCCTGAAAGGACACAATTCCTAACACATTTAGTCAATGGTGTTACTAATATTATACAAAATCCACGAGGTCTAAGCGATCCTGCAAACTATCACGAATTTTGTAGACTAATCTTAAGGTTAAAAAGTAATTTTCAACTGGGAGAACTGATTTTACTTGAACATTATCCAGAGGACATACAGTTAATTGCAAAATTCACAGTGCAAAGTTTACGAATGTGGCAATTTTCGCCGAACAGTTTGCATTATCTTTTAACGCTATGGCAGAAGATGGTATCATCTTTACCATACATAAAAACAGGGGATCGACATTTATTAGACATATACACACCAGAAGTTGTAAATGCGTACATTACTTCAAGATTTGACTCGGTTGCTGTAGTAGTCAGAGAACGTTTGGAAGACCCACTTGACGATTTAGGAGTGGTACATCAACAATTGGAACAGATATCTGTTATTGGGAGGTGTGAATATCAGAAAACTTATACCCTGTTAGTACAACTCTTTGATCAAGCAGCACGAGCATACCAAGAGTTATTGAGTCAAACGTCGTCTCCGTCTCAGACAATGGATATTACTATAAGCGAGGGTCAACTTACTTGGCTCGTGTACATTATAGGTAAAAGACAATCTATAAATTAATATACTATTAATGACAACCGTACGTAAAGTAACGTGTGGCATAATATACATTGTTTAAAACAAGGTGGTGTCATTGGTGGAAAAGTAACGTTTAATAATAACGAAGAGTACGATGCAGTGGACGGTGAATTGGTCTGTAGAGTACTACAATTAATGAACCTGACCGATTCAAGACTTGCACAAGGTGGCTGTGAAAAATTGGAGTTAGCAATGTTGAGCTTCTTCGAACAATTTCGTAAGATATATGTAGGTGAACAAGTTCAAAAGAATCCAAAAGTATACAGAAGACTTTCGGATGTTTTGGGAGTAAACGATGAGTCTATGACACTCGGTATTCTTATCAGAAAAATGTAAGTGAAACGTGTAAAACGTAGACAATACCGTTCATGATTTTAATCCCTGGTCGTTTTATTTGCAGTATAACAAATTTGAAGTATTGGGGACGTAGTGAACAGATTATTTCGAAAACGTTACAGTTACTAAATGATTTATCCGTGGGTTTTAGTTGTGTTCGAAAACTTATAAAATTAGAAGAAGTACAATTTATGCTCAACAATCATACGGTATGTATAATAACTGTGTACAGTACTATCATGTAAAACATGTAAAACTTGAATAGAAGATCACCTTTTTTCTTATGAATAGGGAGAGCATTTTCCATTTCTGGGAAATAATGTTCCTGTATCAGAAATGCGTTGTAGATCAATGTTCTACACATCCTTGGGTAGATTGTTAATGGTAGATTTAGGAGAAGATGAAGAAAGGTTTCACACTTTTATGTTGCCTTTAACAGGTATACAGATTTATGAAGAAATATGATATGCAAATCATGTATTTATTTTATGCTTACATTTGCATTGTACTATTATCAGGTGCATTAGAAAGTTTGGGACAACTGATGGGTGCTGCAGACCCCTCACATTTTGCAGCGGAGGAAGCAAAAAAAGCTTTGATCGGTTTAGCAAGAGATTTAAGAGGCTTAGCATATGCATTTAATACAAAAACATCATATATGATGCTTTTTGACTGGATGTATGTATTTTTTCATAACATATAATTTATTTAATACGTAATTAATAACAAAATATCAATATGATTTTAATGACCTTAATTTATATGTAGATATCCAAACTACACACCGATTTTGTTACATGCCATTGAACTATGGCATTACGAGCCACAAGTCACGACACCCATCCTAAAATTATTTGCTGAATTAGCACAAAATAGGAGCCAACGATTACAATTCGACGCATCGTCTCCAAATGGGATTTTATTATTTCGTGAAGCTAGCAAAGTGATATGTAGTTACGGTAACCGTATATTGAATGTCGATGTTCCAAAGGATCAGATATACCCTTTAAAACTGAAGGGAATAAGTATATGCTTCAGTATGTTAAAAGCAGCTTTGTGCGGGAATTACGTGAATTTTGGAGCGTTTAGATTATACGGTGACGAGGCATTGGATAATGCACTTAACACATTTATCAAATTACTTCTTAGTATACCGTTGAGTGATTTACTGGTATGTGTTTCATTCATAGAAATATCACGTTCAGGACTCGTTAACATTAAACGTAACGTTGTGTGTTGTTTTCTATAGCATTACCCAAAATTGTCTGCGACGTACTACCTGTTACTTGAATACTTGGCACAGGATCATATGGTATTCCTCTCTACGTTGGAACCCAGGGTGTTTTTGTATATTTTATCAAGTATCAGCGAAGGCCTTACAGCGCTAGGTGCACAAACAGATTATTGTACAGGTCTCTTAGAAAAACTTGAAATAACAATGAAATTTTATTGCAGATACAATGATTTCTAATGGCAGCTGCTCGACTCTTGATCATATTGTGACATATTTATTTAAACATCTCTATCCAAAAGGTACGCTCTATTTATTTAGTAGATGCATAATACATGATAATATGTACACGTGTAACATATGTTATACTTTCTTAGGAAACTACGCCAGGAGGAAAAATGCTGTTGTTCCTGGAGGTGGAGACTTGTTTTTACAAGTCTTAAAACAGCATCCTGAAATTCTTCAGCAAATATTAAGTACCGTTTTAAATGTGATAATGTTTGAAGATTGTAGAAATCAATGGAGTATGTCACGTCCTCTTTTGGTATTGATTCTTTTAAATGAGGAGGTAAGCACAAACCGATGCTCTGTTGCTGTTCTATAAAGAATTTTTTAGTAACTTGTGTAATAAAAAAAAACTGTTTCTGATTTCAGTATTTTAATCAGTTACGAGAGAATATTATTAGAAGTCAACCAGTTGATAAGCAGACAACAATGGCACAGTGGTTTGAAAATTTAATGGAAGGGGTTGAAAGGAATTTACTTACGAAAAATAGAGATAGGTAAGAATGAATAGAGACAAAAATTAAAGTATTTTAATATGAGAAAAATCAGTGTTCTTAATGAGAAATTACTGTACAGAGTATAAGTAAATTTTTATATGTATTTTTCATTTTAGGTTTACACAAAATTTGTCGTTACTTATAAAAGATATAAATGATACTTTAAAAGGACCTTACTCATCTGCAAATGTTACCAATGATAGTATGATGGCATTGCAGTGATACCGCTCTCTTGCTACTAGATTCTCCTAGGTTCTTGCCTGCCAAATGCTTGAATGTGTGTGCGAGTGAAACTATAAATTATGGTGGATTTAAAATTATGGTTTTAGATGAGTATAAAGATAATAAATTAAGTACTGTTGTTTTATAGAATCATTATTGTTTGGCTTCCTATTCTCTTG